GTTTCCCTGTGGCCTGGGTCCAGTCTCCCTCGGGGAATTCTCTTGTTTGGTTAAAGGATCTCTTTGGGATCTGCTACACCCGGAATTGTGGAAGGAAACGTTAAGTTCCTCCTGGTTGGAGCAAGGAAGGGTCTTGGCAGGATATTCATGGCTTACAGTTCTGGAACAGGTCAGGGCTATCCAAAAGAGGAGTCCTCAATCCTCCTTAATCAATCATCAGAAAAAAATTTTTTGTCCTAAATACATCAAGATGTTTCCTGAACAATAAGGTCACAGATCTGCAGAGGCATGGACACTCCACAATGTTGGAATAAACCTTGAACGAATTCTGCCAGACCCCGACCAAGTAACTCTCCGTTCCCCTAAGCCTTAGGGCCTAAGGCTTGTTGAAATCCCCTGGCCCTGTGTTGAAACTCCAGTCCTTTCCCCTCACTGCCATTTGGAACTAACTCAGTCTCTCACTATTACCTGCATCCTGATAGCCTGGGCAAGTCAGATTCCAAAGATAAACCGGCCCTGTCTGGATAAACAGCTCCAAGAGGCGGAAACGTGCAGGCCTGCACGTAGCCCCAGAAGTTGACTTTAACTTCCCCTTCCCCAGACCTCCTGTATAAACTCCAAGTTTCTCCTTCCCCTTTGGCAGGTAACCCTCTCTCCCCCTTCCTGCTGTGTCTGCCCCCCCCCCCCCCCCCCCCCCAGGTCAGACAGGCCTCCTGTCTCTAAGCTGCCTGGGAAATCTAGCACTTAGCCCGTAGGTTACTGCTCTAAGTGGCTTCCTGCCTTCCCACCCAGTCCTCCCACCTGTGATATAGGGCATTGTTTCTCCCCCTTTCTTCTTCCCACTTGGGGGCCTGGACAGAGCAGTGGCCTAAGTCTAAGAAAGGTCAAAGGCTATCATGGAAAAGGGCTGAACCCAGGTGGTTGCCCCACCACAAGCCTGAGGGCAAACTGATAAACTCCAGGCAGTTCTGCCTTTCAGGGACACCCCCACCACCACCACCAACACTGATGCCCGGTAAGGCGCCACTAGAATGTGCTTCGGGCTCTTTGGTTCTCAGATGTGAACCACGTCAGCAGAACCGGGGCCAGCTGCTCCCTGAGGCGAAGCTGCACTTTTCAGCTGCTGCTAGAGAAGGGCTGTGGCTGGGCCAGAGGTCTTAGCACAGGACGGTCCTGGCCACCCAGCTACAGCCCACCCAGCTATGAGGTGGGGAGAGCTGCTCTTTTGTACTCTGTATAACACAAATGCAGACACATTGACTTCATCCCTGACCTTTCATTGTTTTTTGTTGTTGTTGTTTTTGTTTGTTTGTTTTGGCTTTCAAGACAGAGTTTTTCTGTGTAGAACTCGCTCTGTGGAACAGGCTACCTTTGAACTCAGAGACCTGCCTGTCTCTGCCTCCCCAGTGCTGGGACTAAAGGCGCATACCACTCCCAGCTTCATTCCTGGCCTTTCCCTTTCCCATCCAAGGTTAGTTCTCTGCTCTCCAGCCTCCATGCCAGCTCTCTTAATTTTGTAGTCTGGGCAGCTGACTACAAAATTCCCTCTCTCCCTCCTCATACCACACAGGGCTGATGGTGTAACACCGTTAAGTCTGCTGAGAAACGACGATTTGATCCAACAGCAGAGCGGTGGAGAATCTGCAGGCCTGTCAAGTCTGTACTGCTCCCTAGTGAATTCACCATCCTGCCCAAGACCCCTGTAAGAACTGTCAAATAAATACTGCAAAACTTCTGTTTAGGACCAGAAATTCACATCTTTTTATCTCCCCTACCCAGCAAGACTTTTATGCAAAAAATTTTAATAACCTTCCCACCCGGTAAAATATTTGTTTATGCCAAGGCCCTGCTGGAGTCTGGGAACTCGATGGCCTGGAACAGTGACCCCTGACCCTTAGGAGCAATAGAGACCCCTTCCTCCTTCAGTGCCTGTGCACTAATTCCTTTCGGGCTAGCCAACTGAATACCACGGTGAGGACCCCAGGCAATGGGGAAAAGACAATCACCTCCTGAGTGAGAATAAAAACCAAATGCACTTCCTGTCCAGGTGTGTTCACTCTTCAGAGTAGTAAAGTGTTGATCAGTAGTAAAATTTGCCATGTCCGGGTACTTTCAGCTGGAATTGTGTCTCTTTCTTCGCAACCTGGAACTTATCTCTAAGGCATTTGCATTTAAAGCTCCTTTCCCCAGAAACAGGAAATCCTCCCTGGTTGTGGCTGCTGACTCAGCAAAGAGGGTTACCTTGCAATAAAGGGAGGGCTTGGCTAATGTGTGAGCAGAAGAGGAGAGGAAGTGAGCAGATTTCGGTGTTGAAAATGGATGTTTTGGGTGTTCAAATGAGTATTCATTTTAAAGCCACCCAGGGCTGGCCCTCCCCCGGGGGGGGGGGGGGGGAAGAATGGAAGACCCTCTGGGGTTTTCTATTTAAAACTTCTCCTTTATTTTGACATTCACTTGGTTGTGTTCCAAGTTATCAAAGATGCAAGACAAGAAATCTGCAGCAGGAGTAGTGGAGGGATGTGGAGAAGGCTGGCGGAGAGGACTGGCTCGCCCCTGGCCCCTCCTCCTTCTCTTCCTGTTTAGGGTTCCCTTTGAAGCGTGTACAGATTGTGTCTCACGGGACAGACTCCACAGCCCAAAGGGCAGCACAGCTGAGTTGAGTGAGCTTTCTCCTCTCCAGGATGGAGCCCATGGAGCTATAGAGAAGAGAGAGGTGGGCAGGCGGCCTGAGCCTACAGTGGAGCCTGTGCCTTGAGTGATGTGGGCTGAGGGAGGACTGTGTCCCTCCTCCCCTCTGACATCCGGGATCCAGGTTTTGACTTGTGGATTAAGCCGAGAAAGCTACAGGAGACCCATAGGCGAAGGGTGCTTTGTACCCAGAGACCCTGAGTACAAACGTGGGTTACAGTTGGCTGGGTTGTCCCGCTTTGCCCACAGGCATTGGTATGATGATGGCATTGTGATTTGGGTGGAGGAGTCTAGAGCTGTGGAACCACAGGAGAACAAGGCACTGGGCTGGTGGTGAGAAAGTGGGAAGAGCTGCCAGGCCCAGCAGCAAGTCAAGGGGTTGCACATGGCCCAGGATGGGCAGATGGTGGGATTGGGTGCACTGGAGCTGCGGAGCCATCCCTTTGCCCCAGGAGACAGATCTCATCAACCGTCCTCCTGTGCCCTCCTGTAGCAGTGCTGTTCACTTGAGGTTGCTCTGTAGGGAGTTGGACAAACACTTTGTGGTTGTTTTTTGAGTCAAGGTTCCAGAGAGCACAGGTTGACCTTGAACTTGTTACGTAGCCAACAATGACCTTCAACACCTACTGTAACAACTACTCCCTTCCTTCCATACCTCCTGAGTGGTGATGGAATTAGAGGTGTGTCCCACCATGCTGGGTTTCTATGGTGCTGGAGATTGGAACCTGGGCTTTGGGCAGACCTGGCAAGAACTCAACCAACTGAGCTACAGCCCTAGGCCTGACGTGTTCGCCTTTCACCAGCCATTGAAAGATTTCTCTCTTCTAATCCTGTGGGTTTTCTCCCGACCCTTTTGTGGTTTCCAGTCCACAACAAATACCCCTGTACTCAGGAATAGACGGGTGGAGAGTCCATCCAGCCCTGCAGGATGAGGGCAGGAGGAAAGAGGTGACTAGCCGATCTTTGTAAGATGTCTTGAATTTGTGGAGCCTTAAGGGACATTTAGATCCTTCTAGGCAAGCTCTGCTTCCTTGGAGAAAATTGGAAGTGTCAGTGAGGATACCTGACTGGTCCCAGGCTAATGAGTGAGCAAAATGTGGCCAGCAATTGATTGTCTTCTGCTTCTTAACCAAGTGTTCCTTATTTACAGTTGGAGATGTGAGGTGCAGCCTACTCTTTGTCAAACCAACCAGCCAACCAACCAAGAGTTCAAGAGAAAGACCAGCTCTTCTCCTGGGCCACCCTCCACAGCATTCTGTGACTCAGGACTATGCAGGCAATAACTAGACACCCTTAGAAGTGGGGACAGTGACCCTTGAGCCACAGAGGTAACTGGAGAACTTATCAGGCATACTTACTAAAACAAAACAAAAAAAGCAAAAACACCTAAGCAAAACAAAACAAATAAACAAACAGCGACACAAACCCAGAAGGCCACTGCTAGGTGATAAGTGGGAGGTGTTGGGACTTGGGACTAGAATATGACAGAAAAATAACTCATCACCAAGAGACTGTAGAGTTAGGGGGCCGAAGAGGGGAGGGCAAGCAAGCTTGAAGTCTAATTACTAAGACACCCCCTCCCCAGAACTCAGGGGAAAAAAGGCCCCATCCCCTGATGCGATAAAATGGTCCTGTTCATAATGTTACATCATAGATGGATGCTGAAGAGATGCACTGGCCTCTAGAGGAGCTTGTGCAGGTGCATGGGAACTTAACTGCTGCAGCATTGCCTCTGGTCCCTCCTGGTTGCCATGGAAACTGGCCACTTTAATTGCCTTTTGGTCCAGCTGTTGGAGGACCAGATTTTTCTTCCTTGTTGGGACCCTGGACCCTTCTGTTCTGCAGCTCTTGAAGGAGACAAAGCCACATGGCTGCTGCTGGTGATGAGTAGGGTACCCCTCCCCCTGGGAATGGGCATGCACACACCCTCAACAGGGTTGACTCTGCATCTGTGGCTAAGCATGGAGGAACAGGGATAAACAGTAAGAGCTGTTTACTTGGCTTCTAAAACTGCAGTCATTAAAACGTAGGGAAGCTTCTCTAGCAGGGGGCATCAGAAAGGACCTGAAGGGGAAACAAGGTTGTATAGACTCTTCTTGCTATGGTCCCCATAAACAGCTGTGTGCTGTGGCACTTAGCGTCAATTTGATGTGTTTCATGAGGAGGGGCGCGATGGCAGATGGGTTGTTTCCAGAGCGCATAGACCTATCAGAGCAGGCAAACAAAGTAAATAAAGAGTGGAAATCAGCTCATTGGCAAATTCCAGCAAGCAAAGCTGGGGCGGGGGGGGGGGGGGGGGGGGGGGGGGGGGGGAGGGGGCTCCTTTAACAGTTTTTCCTCTCCCTCCTCTCAAATCCTGGGATGTCTAGTCCTCACCTTTCCCTTTTCGTCCGTTTCTTCTAGGCATGCCCTCTTCATCAAGGTCTCTGGAAGCCTCCAGAGCCTTTGCCTAGCCTTCCCTGGTGCTCCTTTGCACAGCCCAGCACAGCCAGGGGTTTAGGCTTGCTGGAAGGGGTTGTGGTAGAGCTTGGCTGTTAGAGGGAAATCTCCAGAGAGAAACTGGTGACACTGCAGACTTATCAAGTCGCCACTTCGGGGCCACAGGTCCCGCCCTGGTCCTCAATGCATTTACTAGCTCACATCCTCGTGAACCCTCTGCTGTGGAAGCCAGAGAAACTGAGATAGTTCCTGTGGAGCTATTGGAAGGTCCCCTTCACCACTCCATTGCTCCTGCTGGGACAGTGTTGGGTGTGTGCAGACTGGGGTGAAAGGATTATACATCTGTACTAATAGCCCTTGGATTAGTGAAGGCCTCATGCCCAGAACTTGGCCAGGTCACCGGGTAACTCTGAGGTGCTGCCAATTTGAGGGATGGGGTTCCCCCCTCTTTGTAATGTGTAGGGGCAAAGGAGAGCCTCTCGCCTCCGCCCCCATTGGGCACCATGTCAGCTGTCCGTATGTAAAAGGGGGTGCGGTATGGGGAGCAGGTGGTGCAGTGGCTGGCCACCCCACAGGGCTGGCTGCAAGGCTCGCTGGTGAGAGGTGCCAGGCTGCCTCTGCCATCCAGGACTTGGGAGCTGCAGGCATTGCAGGTGGAGGCTCGGGGATGGATGGAAAGGTCATGTTCCTCCTCTTCCTCCTCCTCCTCAGCATCCTCGTCATCTGTGCTCTTCTTGCAGCAGTAATACTGGGGAGAAGGAAAAGGGATGCTTGAGAGGCAGTCTAGGTCCCCCTGCTCCCAACACCAGTGAGCGTGCACAGGAACAGCCCTCCTCCACCTTTCACTGAATGCCTTGTGCCAGCCACTTTGTTGGTGAACTAGAGGCCCACATCCCATTTATCCCCAGTGTTACCGGGCCAATACTTCTCCCTTTTTCTCAGTGTGTCCTGGTGGACAGGGAGGCAGAGAGGGGAGAGGCACATACACAATGCAGGGACAAGGCTGGGGGGTGCTACAGTAGCTTACAGAGTCTCCCAGGATGGTGGCTTTCCTACCAATCCCTGTGCATTGGAAAGGTGAATGTGAGAGCCCTGCATCTTCCCAGGACACCCCAGTGCCTCTGTAGGGTGCAGGGAACGTGTGTGTGTGTGTGTGTGTGTGTGTGTGTGTGTGTGTGTGTGTGTGTGTATGTGTGTGTGTGTGTCTCAGGAGGTATGTGCACAGCTGCTCCCTTCTGACTTATGCTTCTCATATTTTATGGCTTTGGGTTTTGTTGCCTCCATAGCGGACCTCCAGTTTCTGCCCCCATCATGGAGAAGTGGCTTGCGGGTGGCCTCCCAGCCTCTGACCATGGGCCCATGGGACTAACCTGGAGCCTACAGTAGCACAGGACAGCAATGATACAGAGGAGGATCACTGTAGCTAGGATTCCGCCGGTGATCACAACTGTTCCCGCTGTCATCCGCCCGGCGCCCCATCAAACTCTGCAAAGACGCGTGCCGGTCAGTGAGGAGGAGCCGACCCACATTCTCTGCACAGTAGTAGGTAGGAGGACAGGAGCTCAGTGGACCCAGGCCCGCATGGGCTTCCTGAAGGCAGAGGACTCGCTATACCTAACCCAGGGTGGGGTGGGGGCCGCGGCTGCCGGAGGAAAAGACAGGCAGAATGTTGACTGCTCCGCCTCTCCTTTAGTCTTTCTCTTTTCCTACTCTTTCTATTATTATTATTATTATTATTATTATTATTATTATTATTATTATCATCATCATCATCATCATCATCATCACTATTATTGATATATATTATTGATAAATATAATAACTATTATTATTATGTACATATGCATGTCTGTGTGTGTGTGTGTGGGTGTACATGTGTGTGCGCCTGTAGAGGTCAGAGGACAACCTTGGGTGTGGTTCCTCAGATGCCATTCTTTTTTTTCTGAGACAGTCTCTCACTGGCCTGGAACTTGCCCAGGAGACTAGGCTAGATGGCCACGGAGCCCTAGGAATTTGCCCGTTTCTGACTCTCTGGTCCTTGGATTACAAAGGCCCACCATCACACCTGACTTTTAAAATGTGGGTCCTAGGGATCAAATTCAGGTCCTCTTTGGAGACTGTGCTGACCGAGCCATCCCTCCCGCCCCCGACTTTGCCTCCTGCTTGATTCCGCGCTTCTGCGGCTCCCAGACGGACTACTGGAAGGGCTTTGTCTGTGAGGCATCATGCTAAATATTCCCCCTTCCCCAGAAATGGCTCAGGAATCCTCACTTTAACTTTTGAGACAGCTACTCATTATCCGTGTTCTGCACAGGAGGCGCCACACTGAAGCTTTGACAAATTTTGCCTGGAATTCCACGTGGCCTGGCTCTCCCTGGAAGTCGGGCTCTCTGTCACTTATCTCTGGGGCACAGTTATCAATGGCTTCGGAACATTTGGAGACACGAGCCCAGAGTGAGCTGGCAGCCAGCATCCTGGCTCCTGGAAGGCCATGGTCAGACTAGGGAAACTGGTCCTGGGTCCTTGGGGCCAACTTCCAGGTGAGGCCATCCAGGCCTTTGGCAGGCCGGTGTACGGTAGTTTCTGAGCCTCCCAGGCATATGGGGCCCCCCACCCCTGCAGGACAGCGGGGGGCTTCATAGCTGGGGGATGGAGGGAGGACTTCAAGGACTTACACTCAGTGAAGGGAACGATGGATGACCTGTAAGACAACAAAAAGGACAGAGATATTGGGAAGAGAATGTTACTCCCCGGGAAAGGTCCCGGGGTTAGTGTATTCCCTAATCTCCACCCATTTTCATCTCAACGTTGCCCTTGGATGTCCCACTGCTACCTCAAACTCAGTATACACAGGATAAAGACATTCTTTTACTTTCCAGATGGATGTCCACTCCTGGGCCCTCCCTCCCTGTCTGTCATGATTCCCCTGCATCTGGGCCTCAGCTGCCCCCTGCTGACCAAGTCCTGCATCCTGTGTGGTCCCCTGGATGAAGCAGTACCCATTCCTTCACTCCAAGGTACCACCTGCCCAGCAGGTGCTCCCAGAAGGCCAGCTTCTACTTCATCTAGAGGTGGCGGCCTTGCTGCTACTGACCGCTCTGTGGACCAGGAGTGTGCATGTGTGCTGCCAACAAGGCATCTCCCACCCATGAAGGGCCTGAGTAGCAGGAGTCTGCATTTTAAAAAGCTCTCGGGTGATTTATTGGCACGCTAGTTATTGGCATGGGGTATAGGATGTGCCCAGCTGCTCTGACTGAAATATCTCAAATTCTTTTGATCTTCTTCCATTTTCTGTTCCCCGTGCCAGTTCAGGCTGAGCTGATGTACTGGCTCTGTAACTAACATCCCTGGGGTTGTGTCTGAGTCCCATTCCTTTCCCTGTAGTTCCTTTCCCTGTAGTTTGACCTTTTATCAGCCCCTTCCTTTGGTGCCTGCCTGTGACTCCAGCATCTCTCTAGCACTGCCTGAAAAATAGATGTGTGTGTGTGTGTGTGTGTGTGTGTGTGTGTGTGTGTATATATATATATATATATATATATATATATATATATATATATATATATATATATATATATGTTTTTTTGAGACAATGTTTCTCCGTGTAGTTTTGTGCCTTTCCTGGAACTCACTTTATAGACCAGGCTGGCCTCAAACTCACAGATCCATCTGCCTCTGCCTCCCGAGTGCTGGGATTAAAGGCATGCGCCACCACCGCCCAGCTTAAATGTATATTTTTAAGTGGGCCAGCATCCATCAAAATAAGATGTGAAGAGCAGACTATGCAAAGGCATTGCAGTAGGACCCAGAATTGAGGCAAGGGCTCAGGAGTGGAGCAGCCAAGAAAGGCTTCTTGGTGCCTTGAAGCATGTGTAAGATTTGAATAAATGGAGAAAGAAGATCAGGTACCACCAAAAGCCACTCAGGACTTCCCACCCCCTTCAAAAGAGTGAAAGATACAATCATCCGGACCCAGCTTCAAAGGCTTCCCCCTCCCCGACTGTCCTGCATGCTCACCACCATTTGACTTTTCCCTCTCACCTCCCACTGTCCCCTCAGCTGAAGCTCCTGCCCCATGGCAGCCCTAGTCCTTAGGAAGTTTAGAGTTTCGAGATGGACAGGGATTTAGACACCCTATGATGCTCACCATAGACCAGGGGAGCCGTGCATGGAGAAGGGGTGCTGAGTACTGAGGAAGATGTCCCCCTACAAGGTCTGAGATGCATCCTGCAAGCTGAGAGACAGGTGCTGATGATGAGTGAAACAGCCCAGGGGGTGAAGAACATGGGGGTGGGGTGGGGATGGTGAACAGGGCTCTGAGAACAGCGAGGGATCTGGAAAGGCTGGGACACACTAGGGGTAGGCACGAAGCCAACAGGCTTCAGGACAGATGAGGAGCCATGCCTCTCCATAGTTTACTCCTCAAGTCTTACTTTGGTGGGTTCTAGTCAACTTAAAAATATATATATTAAGTCGGGTGTGGGGTGTACACCTTTAATCCCTGCCTCTGGGAAACAGAGGCAGGCAGATCTCTGTGAGTTCAAGGCCAGCCTGGTCTACAAAGCGAGTTCCAGGACAACTAGGGCTATTGCACAGAGAAACCCTGTCTCAAAGCAGACACACAAACTAACGCACAAAAATGTATATTTATTTTTCTTTTATGTGTATGAGGGTTTTGCCTGTGTGTATGTATGGACACTGCATGTGTACCTGGTACCCGAGGAAGCCAGAATAGGGTTTTGGATCCCCTGGAGTTGGAGTTACAGATGGCTGTGAGCTGCCACATGGATGCTGGTAATTGCGTCAGGGTCGTCTGCAAAAATCTCCAAGTGCTCTTAATTGCTCAGCCATTTCTCTAGCCCTGCTAGTCAATTTTTAATGCAGAAATATCTTGAGTCTTCTACTAAGCTGTAAATCCTTTGCAACCAAGGACTGTGTTATACTGTTTCCCATATCTGCCGCTCCCAGTATGATACATCACGCCATGCTACACAGCAGGCATGCTTTAATAAGAGCTGGATAACTGGTTCTGTGTCACATGTCGCAGACTGATAGTTATTACTTTAACTGACCACTAGGGGACAGCAAGTCACAACTTTTAATTCCATCCACAAAATTGAGCATCCCTGTTGAAGATGGATGTGACTTTGCCCAGATGTGTGGTAGGCCATGTTTCTGGGAGTTCCTGAAGCATCTGGTGGGTGGGGGGACAGGACGAATCTCATGCTGGAGAGGATTTATAGGATGCCATTAAAAAATCAGTGAACTCTCCCCTGCTTCCACACATACCGCTGAGGTTTGCTTGCAAGACAGAGGCCTACCATGTGACCTGCAGGAAGAGGGCAGTGGAAGCCTTGGCCTTTTCTTTGTTTTTTTGCTTTGTTGTTGTTGTTTTTGTTTTAATGAGACAGGGTTCCAGTTTGTATCTCCGGCTGATCTGGAGCTTTCTATGTAGCCCAGCCTGACCTTAAACTTGCAGCAATCCTTCTGAGACTCTCAGATGCTCGCATGGCATATATGAAGCCACCACACAGGCTTTGAAAGCCTTAGCCCACTCCCCTGGGGGAGTTTCAGAAGACAAGGGCTTATGGAAAAGCCTTGTAAGACTTCCCCTTGGATGTCCCAGGGCTAGTGTTGTGGATTTCTACCAAAACTTCTGCCTCTCGAGGGGCTTCATGAGAAGGAGAACAAAGTTCCCGTGTTCCCATGAAAGTCCTATCAGATCTGGGACAGAACAACTCAGTGGTGGCCAGCCGAAGGGACAGGAGTCACCAAAGAGGACAAGTTATTGTCCACTAAGGAATTCTGAGGGTCTGCTCTCTGAGTCCAGGGTTTTATGACAGCCCTTCTATACCCATCCTCTACCTGGAGCCCAAATACTTCTGGGAAAAAGCCTTATACTCACAGGAAACAGCTGGAGCATCCGTGGCTCAATCATGCAGGCTGAGCATGAGCAGAGAGCAGCTGGGGGTGGATCATGGCCAAGGGCATCGTCAGTCCCTGGGAGAGAAGGGGAGGGGTGTTAGTGGGAGCTGCATGTGGATGTTGAGTGGCCAGACAAGCTGGAAGGCCTTCAAGACTTGGAAGATCATATTCAATTCCATCCTCATTTTCTTTTCTTTCTTTTTCTTTTTCTCTCTTTCTCTCCTTCTTTCTTTCTTTCTTTCTTTCTTTCTTTCTTTCTTTCTTTCCTTCCTTCCTTCCTTCCTTCCTTCCTTCCTTCCTTCCTTCCTTCCTTCTTTCTTTCTTTCTTTCTTTCTTTCTTTCTTTCTTTCTTTCTTTCTTTCTTTCTTTCTCTCTTTCTTTCTTTCTGAGACAGGGTTTCTCTGTATTGTTTTGGTGCCTGTCCTGGAACTCACTCTGTAGACCAGGCTGGCCTCGAACTCACAGAGATCCGCCTGCCTTTGCCTTCCACGTGCTGGGGTTAAAGGCATGCGCCACCACCGCCCAGCTCTCATTCTCTTCTTTTATCACTACCACCTATGACCCTCTGTCCAATGCAGCATTGTACCACTGGGCAAGAGCACCTGGTGATGGTAATAAGGCGCTGGTTGGTCGGCGGAAAAGTCACGGGCCGGCAGAACCCAATGCTAGTTTTTTTTTTTTGGTTTTTCGAGACAGGGTTTCTCTGTGTAGCTTTGCGCCTTTCCTGGAACTCACTTTGTAGACCAGGCTGGCCTCGAACTCACAGAGATCCGCCTGGCTCTGCCTCCCGAGTGCTGGGATTAAAGGCGTGCGCCACCACCGCCCGGCCAATGCTAGTTTTTAGAGCTTTATTGGGAGGGAAAGGGGGGAGAGAGGGCCAGGCCTCAGGGAGGGAGCAAAGCGGGAACAGAGAGAGGAAATACAGGAAGAGAGTGTGGGGGTCCGAGTCTGGCTTTTTAAGGTGGGAACTTCGTGAGCCCTCGGTACACAGTAGTCGCCCGCACCCCCTGATGATGTAAGACGTTAGACCCAAGCTCTGCATGTACAGAATCCTAACACCTGGGGCAAGAGACTCAGTGGGGACAGGATCCCATCTACATCTTTCTTTCTTTTTTTTTTTTTTGGTTTTTCGAGACAGGGTTTCTCTGTGTAGCTTTGCACCTTGCGCCTTTCCTGGAACTCACTTGGTAGCCCAGGCCCATCTACATCTTTCAAACTCCACTAGGGAACTCAAGTGAGTGCTCAGTGTATGATGCTCAGCCTCCGTTCAGGGGTCCTGGGAGGGGATCCAGCCATTAGTGACATCTACAGAACCACTTTCTGAAAGGACAGCGCTGAGGACCCTTGTTCTCCACCCCCAGAAGCCGGAGCTCAAGGTTTGGTGCATAACCAGCAGGACTTGTGAGCAGAGCTTGGGAAACGTTGAAAGGTGATGTGTGGACCTCTAGAGTGACCCTGTCCACATATGACCTTCTTTGATCAGGGCAGTTCCTGTCCCTGATGCCATAGATACCATCTTAGTTGGGATTCTCTACTGCTGTGAAGAGACACCATGACTATGGCAACTCTCTAAATTTATTTTATTTTATTTTATATACATTGGGGTTTTGCCTGTGAGTATGTATGCAGGAATCAGACAGCTGTGAGCTGTGAGCTGTCACGTGGGTCCTGGCAATTGAACCTGGGTCCTTTTGAAGAACAGCCAGTGCTCTTAATGACAGTACCAACGACCATGTGCCCATGAGGACACCCACCCAACCTTAGCTTTGGCATAGTCAAATATTTTCTGTGCATGGATATTGGATTTTTTGTTTTTTTTGGTTTTTCGAGACAGGGTTTCTCTGTGTAGCTTTGCGCCTTTCCTGGAACTCACTTTGTAGCCCAAGCTGGCCTTGAACTCACACAGATCCGCCTGGCTCTGCCTCCCGAGTGCTGGGATTAAAGGCGTGCGCCACCACTGCCCGGCTCCCTATAGCAACTCTTATAAGGAAAACATCTAATTGCGTGGCTTGTTTACACTTTCAGAGGTTCAGTCTATTATCATCATGACCTGGAACATGGCGGCATGCAGGCAGATGTGGTGCTGGAGCTGAGAGTGCTACATCTTGCAGGCAACAGGAAGTCAACTGACTGTCACACTGAGGGAAACTTGAGCAAAAGAGACCTCAAAGCCCGCCCCCACAGTGACACACTTTCTCCAACAAGGCCACACCTCCTAATAGTGCCACTTCCATGGGGGGCGGGGCATTTTCTTTTAAACCACTACAGATACCCAGGCTCTCTCTCTTTTTTTAAAGACAGGGTTTCTCTGTGTAGTTTTGGTGCCTGTCTTGGATCTCACTCTGTAGACCAGGCTGGCCTTGCCTCCAAGTGCTGAGATTAAAGAAGTATACCACCACCACCACCACCACCACCACCACCACTACCACCACCACCACCACCTGGCTCAACCAGGCTCTCTTTTCTCAAGGATGTTCCCACTCTTTGAACAGTAAGTCAGGTATGAATGGTAATGCCGGCTGTAAAGGAAGGAGGAGGTCACTTCTAAGGACAGGTTCAAGATTCGAACTCCTTTCGAAAGCTAAATCCCTCCCTGGCTGGCTCTTTTGCGTTGAGCTGCTATGTTGGGAGCCCCATTTGGCCAGACTTTGGCCAGTCTCAAGCTGGTAACTGAGGCTGTTTGGGCTGCTTCTACTGAATTTTGAGATTTCAAAGCATGTTCATCGAGGTCAGAAGACCCCAGAGTGTTCAGGACAGGTCCCCCATTCTGGCCATGTGCTAAATCTACAGTGGAAATCCAGTCCCACATGCCACACAAATAAGGTAGATCTGTAATTTGGTGAAGAACTGATAGGAAGATCTCTTTGGCAAAGCCGTTGCTGAGCTGTGAACGCCCCTTCCCACCCCCAAGGCATAAAAGCTGTGGCTGGCTCAGGGCTCTGTCCCATAGTGCCATTAATGAGACAATCCCAACAAAAGAGGCTGGGTGTGTCTTATACCCTTATACCCAGGGGCTAAGCAAGGAGTTGCCAGGGGTCCCAGCAATGGAGCTGGTGTGCTTGCCTAGGCTAGCCTGGGCTAAGGGAAACTCACGACAGCCCTTAAATACACAAGGGCAAGAGCCAAGTTTAAGCCCCTCTCAGTTCTCTAGCCAATAAAAGTGCACACTATCCTGGCAAGGTAGTGAGAATGAAATCCACGAACCCACAGAAACACACACACACACACACACACACACACACACACACACACACGCACGCACGCACGCACACACACATCTACAATAAAAATAAAAAGTGATTGATTTGTTAAACAAGTGCGCTACGTGGATTTTGCTCAGAACTTTTTTTTTTTTTTTTTAAGAATCCTTTTAAGGTATAGTCAGTGGAGAAACCTCCACTTCCTCTCTAAACAAAACAAACAATCCGGTCACATCACACTGTGTCACATCACCTGCGGGCCCATCTGGCTACTTTTAAGCTCATTCCCAGGAGATAGTTGCGTGTGTTTCTACAGACTTGTGTTTTTGCCAGTCGTGAGTAATAGTCAACACCCCTCCAGTCTGATGCTAGTCCTTTGCCTCTGGTTCGTATCTACTCAGGCGGAAGTGGCTGGAGAGGTCCCTCTGCCGTCCGCACCACCCCTCGCCCTTTCTGTATTTACCAGCTCCCATGATTTTCAGGTTAGAAAAATGATTCATGGAAATGTAAAGACTCTGTGAGAGCTGGCCCTGGTGTCTTGTTTAACAGGAAGAAGCCACGTTCGGAGAGGGTGAGTAACTTGCTTAGCCTCACACAGCAAGGCAGAGACAGAGAGACCTGGAGAGGCACTGGGAATGGCACGTCCTGACTCAGCCTGCTGTCTCTCATTCCAGAAGGTCTCCACGTATTTCCCCAGGGGCTGAGGCGTTCCCTGGAGTGCTCTCTTGAAGCAGATTGATAGTAACAGCTGAGCCACAGGTTAAGAACTAGAGGCCCCGAACCTCCCAGAGCCACAGCCGCCGTGGTTGGGTGGGTGCAGGAGTCTGTATCGTATCAGGCTTGTACCTTACCATCTGGCCCTTTTGGAAAGTGAGACAGGAGTGAAGGTCTTTGGGAGGTTTCAGTCTGGAGACAGCAGGGGTGGCGTGGGACGTGTGTAGGAGGGGTGACCTTGTAGAGTTAGTGGCATCCTCTGGTCCCATGTCAAGACTGGTTCTGGGTCTTTGGGGCCAAGTACACTAGCAGTCTGGAGGTGGACAGTCAGAAGAGCCAAAGGCACATCAGCAGAGAGCCAGTGAAGAAGGCAGGATGACGGATCGAGAGGATGACAGTCTTCCAGCAGAGACGGGGAGGGGCACTGAAAGTCACTTCCCATTAGACCAGGGGGTCTCTGCTCTCTCAGAGGGGACCCCCTACCACCAGTGACCCCAAATTCCTGTTAGCAGGTTACCTCGCTCACTTCGTGGGTGACTGAAGAAGAGAAGAAACACAGGATGCAGCTGGTGCTCAGACACTGTAATTAATGGCTGCTGCTCCTGCTCTACCCCCCTCCCCCTTAGGAACACAAGTTAATTGAGTGGAGCCTAAGCACCTGATGTCAATTTCTTCCGATGCAATTAAACCTCCTCCAGTCATTTATTAACTGGTGGAATCGGCACAGCAGGTTGGCTGCTCGCTGGCTGGAGGAGAGGAACTGTTGTCTCCTTGTAACCTGTCTGGGACTCAAGCCCAGGCAAGGGGGCCGGGGGAGGCTGTTGCTTTCTTATGCTGATGTCCACTGCCAGGTCCTGACTGTCAGATGAGGGTCTGAAGAGTCCCTTTTGCCCCAGGTAAGTAACTACAGGCTCCCAGAGATGTGTGTTCTTGAAAAGCAGCGTCTGCCCATCATCCAGAAAAATCAAAGGCATGTATGTCCCAAGGGGCCTCCATCCCATCACCTTGGCCCTGGTGTCCTCTAACCAAGACTGTGCAGGTCCCTGCGGCTGAGAGACTCAGGCACAGCCTCAACATGACAGGAAAAAGAGTAAGGGGCAGAATCCATGATGGTCCTAAATACAGTCAAGGTGACAGTGGAGATGAACCATTGTAACTCCA